AGAGAGAGAGAGAGAGAGAGAGAGAGAGAGAGAGAGAGAGAGAGAGAATCAAAAATCTCTGTCACCTTTGAGTTCTAAAACTTGTGGTCCTAGAAAATAGGTATTATTGGGTCATAGCCACAAAAAAACTAGTTTTTCTAGGAAGAAAAAAAATGGCAAGAAAGAATGAGACAAAGGATTGAAAAGAAACAGGTAAATAGAAATCTAAGATCCAGTAGTGGCCATTAATGTCTGAAGTGAGACTAGAAGCTGTGTTGTCTGCCAGCTTGGGTGGAGCAGCAGGTTTAAGCAGTCAGTGGTTGGATTGCCTTACCCACCTGGACCAGTTTAGCTTCCATTCATATTCAGAACTTGATCACAGCCCTTCCCCAGGGAAGCCTACCTAAACACCATATCCAAACTAGATGAGGACTCTTGTCATCCTCTTTCATAATAAATAGCATTTGTACTTTTATGTAGGCTTAGATTTCTTTTTCAAAACCCATTTTATTTAAGGTTCTTATGTTCTTCAACCCCATCGACCAGAGGTAGAAGAAAAAGAAGGTTAGTAGGAAAAGGGTTTTGTGTACCTGTTTAGAAGTAGTTACTTGGGACGATTTCACTCTTTTCAGGATACCAGCAGTCTAGTTCAATAGCAAACACCGAACACGATCAGTAATGGCAGCATGATCCAGCAGAAACAGCAAGGCTCCACCCCATCTGCTTGAATCAGCAGAATTAGCTGGAATGACAGGAGACGTTCTTTGGTGCATTTCTCTCTAAGAAGTGAAGACCAACAAAGACCAGGGAAGCATTGCATGGCATAGCAATGCAAGAGCGTCCCTCACTGTGGGGTTCCATTTATGTTCTTTCTAAATATCACACACCCTCTCAAGTGTCTGTTTTTGACAAAACATCACATGCCCTCTCACAAGACAGCTTCCAAGAAACTATCACGTGACACAACTGAGTTGTTAAAGAAACCAGAAATTTCCGCCTCACTTTTATTCTTTGCAACTATTTGATTTCTCCTAGTTCTCTCCCAGTTCACGTATACAGCATCCCTGTATATGCTGTTGACCACATACAGTAACTGACACATAGTATAGACTCAGTATATAATCTGGTTAAAGAGTGAATGGGAGTGAGAAGGGGTGGTGTGGATGGTGCACTTGTATTTAACAATCACAAGGACTATTGTGTTTATCTGCAATTCAAACCATGGGGAGGCCTGGTGTAGTGATGCATACCTGTAATCTCAGCATCTGATAGGTTAAGGGAGGTGCGAATTCAAATGTGGCCTGAGTTACATAGAGAATCTCAGGCTAGCCTGGTCTACATACAGATACCCTTTCTCAAACAAAACAAAAACATTTTTTTTTAATTATCCACTTAGATTCATTTATTCATGATGAATGCTTATAGCTGAGGTTTTCTTTTTTCTTTTCTTTTTTTTCTTTCTTTTTTTCTTTTCTTTTCTTTCTTTTTCTTTTTTTTTTTTTTTGGTCTTTCGAGACAGGGTTTCTCTGTGTAGCCCTGGCTGTCCTGGAACTCAGTCTGTAGACCAGGCTGGCCTCAAACTCAGAAATCCACCTGCCTCTGCCTCCCAAGTGCTGGGATTAAAGACGTGCGCCACCACTGCCTGACAGCTGAGGTTTTCTGTACATGATTTCAGTGATGCTTCTCCATGCGGCTCTTTTTACTGAGAGCCATGAGCTATCTCCTTTTGTTGGTGTCCTCAGTGTTTTATAGAAGTGTGCTTCTTAATTATGTTCTTTATAATAATAATCTGATAACAACTGCCATTTTCTTTTTATTTCAGCATGTCTTCAAATTGGAACAGGAGGAATATATGAAGGAGCAAATTCCATGGACACTCATAGATTTCTATGATAATCAGCCATGTATCAACCTTATAGAATCTAAACTAGGCATTCTAGATTTGCTGGATGAGGAATGTAAGGTAATTATACTTTCCTGGAGTACTTATCCTGTCAAGATAGATGGATCCAGGCTTTAGCACACGTGGGTGCAAGCAGAAACGCTTCAGTATGTCGTTGTGACAAGTCAGGGGCCTCTCATTCATTCTGAAGAGACATTAGACCCCAAAGGTTCTTTAAAAATTACTTTTATTATTTAATAATAAATAATAAAAGTGTGTGTGTGTGTGTGTGTGTGCAAGTTTGTGTATGCGTGATGCACATGTGCCACACCATATATTGGCAATCAGAACAATTTTTGGGAGCCAGTTTTCTCCTTCCACTGTGGAAGTGGGAATGTACTCAGGTCAGCAGGCTTGCAGAACCTGTGCCTTTACCTGCTGAGCCTTCTCACTGGTCCCGACCCCAAGGATTGTATTTAAAGTGAAACTAGGAGAATTTTCCTTCTGTTTGTAGCTGACTACAAATTGACAACTGTTACTACTTTTCATCATTTTTGCTTTTAATGTTTATCTTTAATATTTTTGATCAGCAGAATATATTGAAATACAAGAAACTTCCCCAAAATTATTTTGATTAATACTTCTAAGTAGCCATAGGTTTTGAATATTTGTTACTGACATAAATAATAACTATTTTACTTGGTTTAACATTTAAGGATGTAGCATGTTAGAAAATCATTGAATCTTCCACTTTATTACTGAAGGACCTTAGGCAAATCTTTTTTTATTAGTTGTCTTTTACTTAATATACAATAAATCACAGCTTATCATGTGTTGACCCTTATAAGGAGCCAGACTTAGTGTTAAGAATGTATGTGGGGCTGCTGAGATGCCTCAGTGGGTAGAAACACTTGCTATACAGATCTGACAACCTGAGTTCAATCTTCCATATCCGACAGTGGAAGGGCATGGCATGCACTTGCCCTCAAATACATGTAATTATAATAAATAAAAACTGAGTTTTTTTTTTTTTTAGAAAAGAATGCATCTGATAAAAAAGTGTTCATTCTGCCGGGCAGTGGTGGCGCACGCCTTTAATCCCAGCACTTGGGAGGCAGAGACAGGCGGATTTCTGAGTTCGAGGCCAGCCTGGACTACAGAGTGAGTTCCAGGACAGCCAGGGCTATACAGAGAAACCCTGTCTCAAAAAACCAAAAAAAAAAAAAAAAGTGTTCATTCTTATTTGAGATTAAAAATAAGAAAGCAAAGCAAAAATGATATCCTAATTTTTTCAATATCAATCAAACAGGCTAATGTAAATTTGGTACCTTTCATTTACTGAGACTAAGTTAATAATGTATGTTATATTTGATAAAGGACAAGAATTCATACAACATATTTTATAGGAAAGCAGAATCATAAACATGTATGCCTTTTGACCTGGGAGTTTAACCTATAAGAATACTTACAAATATATTGAAAGTGTGTATGTATAAGAGGAATATGACACTTTCATAACAAAAAGTTAGTAGCAACCTAATGACCATGAGTAAGAGGGGAAGTGTAAGGAGTATATCGAATGAGCCCACTCAAGTAGATGTTGTAAAAACAGGTAAAAAGTAGTAAAGTTTCTGCACATGGCAAGAGGAGACCACCAGTTCATACCTTTCCAGATTTAATTAATATTTCATGGTGTATAAGTGTTACTTGCATTTAACAATTTTTTAAAAAAATAAAGTATGTCTTAATAGTTGTATTTCATCTTCAACTTGTAAAGCCTTTATTGTGTTAAAAAATTAAATGTTGATGACTCCCAGTATAGGCCAATGGTCATTCACATGTTGTACCTGGTCCCTCCAAGGAAGGTCTCAGCCACGCCCTTCCTTGGAGGCTAACTCGTGCTGATGAGAAGAAAGGCTGAATCCTTAAGTTGAACATAGGAACTGGTGTCTTGTTGCTGATGTCGCACAAGACCTTTAGCACTCAGTCACTTCACTTTCTTTTTTCTCCCAAGATGCCTAAAGGAACAGATGACACGTGGGCCCAAAAACTCTACAACACGCATTTGAACAAATGTGCCCTCTTTGAGAAGCCCCGCATGTCAAACAAAGCTTTCATCATAAAACATTTTGCTGACAAAGTAAGGAAACTTTTTGTCTTTTTTCATTTTCTATACTTTACATTGAATTATAATAGAAATCAGTAGTCAAGTATTGTGTTTTTGTTTTTGTTTTGTAGCACTTGCTTTCTTTAAAGTCCTTTCAGGAAGAACAGTCTTCAGTACTGCCATCTTGGTTTTCTCTTACTGTAACTTGAGTTGGATTACATATTAAATAAATACAGGTCAAAAGTCTTTGTCTGAAGTCTTGAAATCCAAGAAACTGAAAACCAAAAGTGTTTTCATAACTTGTTTAGCATCCAAACCTGATCTCTGACTTGAACTAACATAACTAACATCTATTTATAATTTTTAGCCCAAGTGAGGTGGGTATTTATGTGTTTAAGTATGGAAATATTAACATAATTTATGGTATAAATGACTTTATTAAACTTTTTAGTAGTACTAAAATGTACATATGTAGTATGTATGTATATACATACTACATCTCTGTATGCATGCATACTTCTGAAGGTCTCACAGGTTTCGTAACAGAGACTGGATTTTTGTCTCCTGTGAAGCATGGTGATTCATTCTTCACAGGTTCTACAGTTCACTTAGCAAGTCGGGGACTATGTGACTAGTTTACACTGCAAGGAAGTTATGGGACAGGCTGTTGTGAGATTTCAGAAGACCTCTGTATGGATAGAGTTTTCTGACTGTCTAGTCCTGACTTGAAACCTTTGGGTGACTACGGTGACTAAGGAGCATAGGATGAGGAGCCCTTGAGTGGGAATGGCTGAAGTTGTGGGATTTTAGAAGAAAACCAATTCTCAAGTAGTCCCACTTTACCAAATTATCCATCTTCTCCCTCTGTCCATCATTAGCTCTTCACAAATTCCCAGCCTCTCCTCACTTAGTCTTTTCCTTCCTTAGAACAGAGGTTCTCACCCTTCCCAATGCTGTGCCCCTTCAATATAGTTCTTTATGCTGTGGTGACCCCAACCCTACAATTATTTTCATTCCTACTTTGTTACTGTAACGTTGCTATTGTTATGAATCCTAATGTAAATATTTGTGTTTTCCAACGGTCTTAGGCGACTCCTGCAAAAGGGTCACTCTACCCACAAAGGAGTCATGACCCACAGGTCAAGAAATGCTGCCTCAGAGGAACACTTCTGCTTGTGTAGATGGTTCACTAGCTTGCACTATACACTGGGTCAGCCTGGGAGGAACTCCCTTTGGCCATGGGAGAGAAAATCAGCTTACAAGTCTGCTTATCCGTGAACTGACAGAGCATTCTGATCTCAGTTTATCAGCAATCACTGGTATAATCAGTGGTAGTGACCACTGTTACTTAGGAAATTGGTATTTGTCAACTTACTAGAGTTTACACATTTCTTTTTTTAGTCTACTGTTTTTATTGGTTGTTTTTTTTTAAGCTAACGTATAAGATAATAGATTTTTGGTTTTTATGGGACAAGGGCTATGAACCTAAGGCTGGCCTTAAACTTACTGTATAGCTGAAGCCAACCTTGAATTCCTAATCCTCCTGTCTCTACCTCATATGTGCTAGAATTCTTGGCGTGTGCTATGGATTTCATTTTATCCTTTTCCTTACATATTTTCTTCTTATTTATCCTCGTCCTCCAGTTCTTTCCACTGTTCCCTGGCCCCCTCATGATCCCATTTCCTATCCCATAGCCCCAGCTCTGCCTTCGTGTCACATGCATTCCATTCATGGCACACATATTCCATTACCTTTCTTCTCCATTGAGAGCTCTTCTTTCCTGTTGTGCTCTCTTTTCTAGTTCATGACCTACATTAATGTGTGCACATACATATACATACATGCACACGCATACACACACACAATTGAATGTTGGATCCATATACGAGGGAAGACATGAAGTATTTGTTTTTATGGTTTGGCTTATTTAATTCAGTATAATGATTTTCATGTGTGACAGTTTTCCTGAAAATGTCATGATTTAATTTTTATTATGGCTGAATAAAATTCCATTTTCTGTATGTGTCACTTGTTTATCCATTCATCTATTGATGGACAGGGAGGCTGGTTCCACTTCTTAGCTGTTATAATTAGTAAAGCAATAAGCATGAATGTACAAGTAACTCTTGTGGTAGGAATTGAGTACTTTGTGTATATTTCCCCAGGTTTACTAGAGTGAATTACCACACCTCTCCCTGGAAATAGCATTGATCTCTTAGAAATGACTGATGGTGCCACTTGCTGAGAGCTAGTCATAGAGCCTGGGCAAATAAATATGTTTTTGTTGATGACTATATCTATTCCAAAGTGTTGTCAGTTAAGGAGATATTGTTTCATGTGATTTCAGGTAGAGTACCAGTGTGAAGGTTTTCTTGAAAAGAATAAAGACACCGTTTTTGAAGAACAAATTAAAGTCCTTAAGTCAAGCAAGGTAAATATCCTTACGCTCATCGGGATATGCTCCATAAAATGTTAATGGCTTCAGCACTAGTCTTTTAATACTAATAATGATTTTGTAATGAAGTCAATTTTCTCTACAGGTTTTAATTTGTCAAATGTATAACACTTAATACGTGTCAGGTCCTGTATAGAGTACCATTCAAATGTTGACAATATGATTCTTACAGCGAGGTAGTATTACATTATTCTCATCTTACACATGAGGCAGCTGAGGCATAGAGGACTGATGACTGATAAGTTCCCAAGTTAGGCTAAACTCAGGCTGTCTTGCTTAGAACCTGCTCTTAACCGCTCTGCCACATGGTCTCTCACTGCCATGTGAAATCTTTGTCTCAGTAGTAGTCCATTCTCCTGCCACTGAGAGACTGCCACTGAGAGGCTTTTCTGCAGTGTCACTTAGGGATTCGCTAGAAATGTGGTCTTACTGCACCCCATCCAAGTGGAGACTAACTCTGGGTCATCATGGATGGAGTTTCAGATGTGACCCAAAATGTTTGAATTATTTTTTTATAAGAACAAATACTAGAACCACTGCTTTCCACTAGGAAAAAGAATATTCCAGATGGTAAGGAAGTATGATTATATTGCTTATTAAGCTGGTCTTTACCTCCACCTGTTGACCTTTATCTGGAAAGTATGGAAGAGGGGCACACAGTTAGCCTACAAGAGCAAACCAGGAAGCCAGTTACTTGATGCTGTAAATACTTGCTTAAAAAGTAAATATATTTGTGTGGACCTTATAGATGACTGATTGGCACTCTTGTTTTTCTGGCTTATTTCAAGAGAATCCTTTTAGCATCTGTAGGATAGTATATGGACAATAGAGTTCTCTGCTGTTATTGCTTTGTCAAAATAATTTAGCTTAAACAAAGCACAGGTTTTCATTCTAGATGTACCCATAATCAGCTTTGTCTTTATTCTGACTTAATTTCCTGTTTGGCTAGTGGGTCCAATCATTAGAAGTTAGCAATATATTGGGAAAAGTCATTGGGAAGTGGCAATCTGTGTTCCTTTGTTGCAGTTGAAGTAGTGATAGTTTGTGATTTGCATAAGTTCAAAGGCTTTTCTTTTCCCAGTCTTTGCAGCAATTCAACCAAAAGACCTGAACTTTACCATCTTTCTGAACCTGGTGTGAAGCAGATATAATGCTGAACCAGTTTGTTCTCTTGGAGGGACCGACTTGTTTGTATTTGTGCTGTGTGTTTTGACAGATTTTTTTAAAAATGATAATAACAATGTAAAATCTATTTATGTCTATTTTAGATCTATTTTGCTTAAAATGTCAATTAGAGATAGCCAGGTAGAAAGGTCATGTAGGAAGTGAGGAATGAAGGCAAGTCAAAAGGAAAGGCAGAGCAAGTAGTAGAAATGCTGTAGGCTTCAGAACTTGATGCTTGTTAAAGCCATGAGACGGAGTGCGATTGCTCAAGAGAGCATGTGGATAAAAACTGCTGTAGCCATATGTTCCAGTTAACAGAGGCTGCCAGAGGAGGCACCAGGAACAGAATTAAGAAAAATGGCCTGTGAAGAAGCACTATCTCAAGAATACATTATCGAACAGTTTTCAGTGCAACAATTCAAAGTATATGCTGTGCGTAGGGGTGTGCGTGTGCATGTGCTCCAGTGTATGAGTATGTGTGTGGAGGCAAGAAGACAGTCTCAGGCTATCCTTAGGAATGCAGTCTACCTCCTTTGAGACATAGTCTTTCATTGGCTTGGTGCTAACCAGGAAAGATAGACTGGCTGACCAGTGAACCCCAGGGACCCTCCTGTTTTCTCCTCCCTAGTAGGATTATAAGCATGTGCCACTAGCCCAACATTTTGGGGGCTATTGAAGTTCAAACTCAGCAAGACAAGCATTTTACCAGTTGAATCATCCCCCCAGCATTGTTTGGTTTTATTATTGATTGCTTGTTGAGACAAGACATTATTTAGTCTAGGCTGGCCTCAAAGTATGTAGATATGCAACTTGAGGCTATCTTTGAACTCTCAACCTCCTCCATTTATCTCCTAAGTCCTAAGACTACAGACACATGTGCCACCACACCAAACTATAGCCCAGGTCACTGTAAAACTCAGGACCTTTACGCCTTCCTAAGTGCTGGAGCTGTAAGTGTGGTCACACCCTGCCTGGCAATAACTTTTAAAAAATAAAAAGTAATTTAGGGAATTTTAGTTTAGAATTTCTAATAAAAGTAATCCTACCCTTAAATGTGTGTGTGTGTGTGTGTGTGTGTGCGTATGTAGATATGTATTTGTGTATTCTGAACTTTGAAAATTAATCTGTTTTCTGGTAGATAGTATAGATGTCAAGTTAAATTGTAGCACTTATTGATAAATATGGCATGATAGCCCAGTTCTACTAAACTTTTCACAGAAAAAAATTAAAAATGAAGTTTTTGCAACTGCTAATGTGGAACCAGCAATTTATTTGAGAATGATACCACAGCTAAGGCTTTGTAGTACATGGCCTATCACAGAATCATCTAGATTCTGATTCCCATGCTGAGTTTTCATATATATATTCCGAACTAATTTTTTTCCTCTACAATGTGGGTCTATTTTTGTCATACAAGATAATGTTAAAATAGTTCTTTACTTCTGTATAGCTAACCATGCTAGACTACATTATATTAAACATTCCCCCAAACAGGAAATATAGTTGCTTATTATGTTATGCTCATCATAGATAACTTCCTTAACTACCCTAATGGGTTTTGTGGGTGGTTTTTTTTTTAATTTTTTTTTTTTTTGTGGTACTGAGGATTTTGACTGTGATGCTATATTTGCCAAAGGAACTTTCTGCTACTATAAAATCATATGACTTTGTTTTTCAGTAAAAGTGATCTCATAGGAAATTATTTACTAACCTGAGATTAGTAAGAAAAGTCCAAGTGTGCACAATGACTAATTTTATTTATATGAATATAACAGTGTTAGAAAGATGAATCCATATAGCAAGATGTTGCTTTAGACTAGTTTAGGTCTCTTTTGTTTCAGGAATGCTCGTCCCACTGTATTAACTAGTATCCATTCACTTATTGAAGATAAATTCTGCTGGGCAGTGGTGGTGCACACCTTTAATCCCAGAACTTGGGAGGCAGAGGCAAGTGGATTTCTGAGTTTGAGGCCAGCCTGGTCTACAGAGTGAGTGCCAGGACAGCCAGGGCTACACAGAGAAACCCTGTCTCAAAAAACAAAAACAAAACAAAAAAAAACAAACCAAAACAAAAGAAGATAAATGCTTTTAATTTCACTACTCATAAGGGAGAGGCAGGCAGATCTCTGAGTTTGAGATCAGCCTGATCTACCGAGTTAGTTTTTATGGTGATATGGGAAGACCACATCTTAAAAAACATGATTATGGTAATTGCACTAAAGTTTTAAATTTCTTAAAATCAAATATAAATATGTGTAGTATAATCACAGAATTTTCTCCTTTTATACAATCCAAATTATTTTCTTAAAATTATTAATTCATTATTAACCTTTCCTTCTACTATTGAAAACTTGTTCCTAATGCCTTCCTGCTGAGACTCTAGGGTGTTTCTGATTTGCTTACTGTAGATAACTGGAGACCTGGACTAGTCCTTTGCTTCTGCTGCATAAAACCTTTTGTAGAACTGAAATGATAAAGTCAGTCTTTTAATTAATATTTTCTCATAAAATAATTATAGTTCAAAGCCAGTTATATGTTTAATTGGCATTCTTTCTGGATTAGATTTCAAGTCAGTGTATATAGTAGTTTTAAGTTTGTTCCACCCCAAATATTTTTTCACCGTACAGGAATAATTGTTTATTAGAAGCATCTATAAAGCCGGGCGGTGGTGGCGCACGCCTTTAATCCCAGCACTTGGGAGGCAGAGGCAGGCGGATTTCTGAGTTCGAGGCCAGCCTGGTCTATAGAGTGAGTTCCAGGACAGCCAGGGCTGCACAGAGAAACCCTGTCTCGAAAAACAAAAACAAACAAACAAACAAACAAACAAAAAAGAAGCATCTATAATGTGTCTTCTACAAAGGCTTACCTTCTAGTTAGTGCTTAGTGTATAACATTTTTATTGTTTTGGTTTGGTTTTGGGGGAAGTGTCTCTGTTGGAGAGGTCTTGAAGACACTCTATTGGTAAGTCTGGCCTGGAATTCATGATCTTCTTCTCTGTCTCCTCAATGCTGAGAATATGACTATGTTGTCTCAGCTCCTAGGTCTAGAGTATAACTTTCTTTTACTGTTTGTGACTCAGTTTAAGATGCTACCAGAACTATTTCAAGATGATGAGAAGGCCATCAGTCCCAGCTCTGCCACCTCCTCAGGGCGCACTCCTCTCACTCGGGTTCCTGTAAAGCCCACCAAGGGCCGACCTGGCCAGACTGCCAAAGAGCACAAGAAGACAGTGGGACATCAGGTGAGCTCAGGGGCTGCTACTGCCAGACTCCACCTCCTCAGCTTCTACAAAGCCTCAGGCCTTCCTTCTTCAGCCTTGTGGACAGGATCTTCACGCAAAGAAAAGCCAGAGTTTCTGCTGTGCAAACAACACTTAGACTTTCCCCACACTAGTCTCATACCGTACACCAGCCCTTCCCAAAAGGAAAGGCTGTGTCTCAGTTCCTCTAATGCATATCATGTCTCAGACCTTTGTCTTTGTTTTGTGCTTGGTTGTCTCATCCCTATATTTATACAGAGCATCCGTCAGCTTCCTCAGTACAAGAAAATACCCTCTCCTTCCTTAGATGTATTTCTCCCTGTAGGGAATAGAAAACATTTCACAGGAGCTTAGTGTCTGAACATGGGTGTGGCTTTGGGAGGGAGGTACTATATTAGTCAGCATAGAGCATTATTCCTTGAGGCCTTGTGCTAGATAGGAACAGGGCCTGGTGTGGATCCACAGCCTCCAGTCTTGACCCGTGTCCTTAATGATGGTCCCTTTAGCCTCTTCTCTGCTCACTGTTATACAATACTGTGAAATCTGCAGCTTTTTTAGTATTGTGTAGCAAGAGTCCATACCTAAATAATTAAATAGCCCTAGTAACAAAATTCTAAGTCACATGTAATGGAACTTACAACAAGAAGCTACAGAGACAGGAGCAGAAGAAAGGTACGTGCATATTTAGCAGAATGAACATGAGGAGTTTAGGCAAATGTAAATGAAACACCTAGAATTTTTGTTTATTAACCACTCCCCTGTGAAGATGACTTTAAATTCATAGTTTATGAATCTCTATGCCATCTTCAATATGCTAAAGGAGGAGAATTTTAAATTGTCTTTGATCTCTAACAAAACTAATTTTTTTAACCCTTTTCATGCAGTTTCGAAACTCCCTTCACCTGCTTATGGAAACCCTTAATGCCACTACTCCTCACTATGTACGCTGTATTAAGCCTAATGATTTCAAGTTTCCATTCACGTAAGTCAAACTGAAATAAGGAGAAAGACTTTTGGGGAAAATCTTCATGTCTTGTAGAGGGAATCTACTTCTCAATAAAATTTCCAGTTTTTGTTTCCTTTTGACAACATGAAAACAAATTAGCAGCTGGCTTTCTAAGTATTTGAAAATTTGAAGCCAACAGTGTATCTTTGGTTCTGTTTTTCTGCTTTGACTCTATCTCTGTTGGAAATTTTTCTGGCCTTCTCTTAATTTGGACATTAATTAAAAGCAGAGCTGGCTGGACTAAGGCCTCTCTGACCAAGGCTTACCTGGTACTTTTTATCTGTTGAAGCCAGAGAATGTTTATCAAAATCTCATTCTACTTCAGATACTAAGTCAGAGGTGAAAATGAATTTCTGGAAATGATTTCAAAATACAAATATTTCTCTAAGTTTAAAAGTAATCCATATATATTTTGGGATGGTTTTCAGGAGCTAACACTATGACAAAAGCAGTGTGAGTTGGCATAGGTGCTGGACTAGTTAGCCTTTACTCTGTGTGTGTGTGTGTGTGTGTGTGTGTGTGTGTGTGTGTGTGTGTGAAAGAGAGAGCGAGAGAGACAGACAGTAACAATGTAAGGTCACATGCTAGAATTGCTACTTCACTTGATCTTAGCCAAAAGGCCAAGAAGTGGTTATAATTGCTACTTTTAACATCATTGACTGTGGACAGTTCCTAGATTAGTATTTAAAGACCTACATTATTGATTCAATGGCTGCAGAGTATCTTATGGTATAGATAGTCCACAATCTATTTAAATTATCCACTATGGAGAAATTATTTAGGTTATTACAACAGTTAAAATATATTTCAATTAAATTACGAGTACATTCCTTTCCTCCCTTCAGTCCCTCCCAGACGCCCTTTCTCAAACCCTTCCTATATCCTATAACAACAATTTTTAACAAATATGTTTTGCCAAATATTTCTGTATATCCTTAAGATAACATGATTCTAGAGGGATTTGTGGGTCCAAAGATCAAGCATATGATTTGATCATTATGTATATGAAATGAAATATCACATTTTACCCCATAAATAACCAGATACCATGTGCCAAATAAGAATTTTTAAATATATTTTTAAAATAGCAGCCATGAGGCTATAGAGATGGCTTAGCTCTTAAGTGCATTGCCTGCTCTTTCGTGGTACTGGGTTTATTTCCCCACAGCCTGATGACAGTTCACAGTAATCTGTCACTCCAGTTTCAGATCATTTGATACCTTCTGGCCTCTGAGCACCAGTCACTCAAGGGTTGTATAGATATACATGCAGGCAAACATCCATTTATACATAATAAAATATAAATAAATAAGTAGACAAAAAAATAGACTAGCCATATATACTCAAGGCTACAGTGTATGAGTAAGTATGGTCTTGCTGGTCCTCCTGTGAAGATTCTGCCTTAGATTTCAGGGTAGTTCTGAAAGACTGCCATATTCCTCATCATCATCTAGATCCTCTCCCTTGGAGGAAGTGGGAGCAGGAAGAAGTTGGCACCCTGACTGTGAACTTGTGTTAGCAAGCCTTTCTCCTACTGGCAATCCAGGGTGTGAGGAGACAATATAGGAACAGGCTTGGGTAGAGACTTAGAGCTTAATCAGGCTCAGAGCTTACTACCAACAGGAGTAAGTCACCTGATGCTTTCTGAACTTTATGATGCTTCTTTGATGTCATTTTAACATCAACATGCCTTTTTTCTTTTTAGTGTCTTAGTTCGTTTTCTTTTTGACATAACAAAAATGCCATGAGCAAGGCAGCTTATAAAAGAAACTAATTTGTGGTTCACAGTTACAGAGGATTAGAGTCCAGGATCATCATAGTGGGGAACATGGCATAAGACAGGCTGGCATGGTGCTGCACCAGTGCTGAGAGCTCACGTTCTGATGAACAAGCATGATGCAGTAAGAAACAGGGAAAGCTAACTGGTAATGGGAAGGGCTTCTCCTAGAAGGCCACACCTCCTAATCCTTCCTAAGCATTTCCATTAATTGGGAACCAAGCATTCATATATATGAACATATGGGGATCATTCTCATTCAAACCACCATCTTTATGATGAAATAAATGTGAAATGTAATACAAAATAAATATATTTTCATTTTCTTTGAATACTACAAATGTTTCATATGTGCACAGTAAGTAGCTTATAGAACAACAAAGTTGTTGTTTTTTAAATAACTAAATGGCACGTGTTTAATTTGTTCTTTCAGGTTCATTGATATTTATCTCAGGGGAGGTCCATGTACTCAGCTGATGACATCTGAGCTTTTTCAGTCAGGCTAAGCCATAATCACACACTTATTACAGGATGGGCACAGTGAGGGGGAACTCTGGCTTCTTTATTTTGAATATGTTCAGTGGACTTTCTGGTGAGACTGTCATGTGAATGGAGGAGCTATCTCTAGCTCTGTATTTTTACTATCTCTTCCCTGCTGTTTCATGGAGTTTTCCATTTTGATCACTGTTCCAGCTTTTGAATGTTTTGTTTTATAGTTTATCTACTTGTCTCTTGACAAAATAATTTAACCCTTGATGGTCTGGGTCTTTTGTGAGCTAACAATTTTTGTTTCTTCATGCAGATTTGATGAGAAGAGGGCAGTGCAGCAGTTAAGAGCATGTGGTGTCCTGGAGACCATCCGGATCAGTGCAGCAGGGTTCCCCTCACGGTGAGCCCAGGCTTCCAATGGAACAGAGCCTTCTGAGAGCAGTTCTTGAATAATAAGCTCATATGGGATTCTTTTTTAGGTGGACTTATCAAGAGTTTTTCAGCCGATACCGGGTCCTAATGAAGCAAAAAGATGTGCTGGGCGATAGAAAGCAAACATGCAAGAATGTATTAGAGAAACTGATATTGGTGAGAATGGTTTTCACTTAACTGTTTCTGGAAAGGTCTTGTCATTCTGAGCAGAAAAGCCCTGAAAACTTCTGTGTTAAACAGCACAACCCAGATTGTTTGACAGATGGCTAAGTAGGGAAACACCTGGCAAAAGGTTAAGTGAGACTCCCTGTGTTTAGTGTGATAGAAGGAACTGGATGATGGTCGACAACACCAGACAGCTGTGGTAAACCCGAACTTGAGGTACAGTCCTTTAGATAGTTTGATCATTGTCAACAAAATGTTTTTAGTACCTAGTTATAGAAAACACCAGATATAATTAAGGGGGAAAGTCCATTTTTATTTTTAAAGACAATCCATTTTAAAGATGAGCATTTAGATTATGTCTACATCACTTATTGGGTAAGGACTGGAGAAATGGCTCAATAGAAGAGCATATACTTGACTCGGGAGGATTTGAGTTCACTTTCTAGGACCCATGTGTGTGGCTAACAACACTCCTGACCTTCTTGGCCACTTACACGTTCACATAGATATCCTTGCAGAGACACACACATGCATACATATAACTATCTTAAAATAATAAACATGACTAAATATAATGCAGAGGAAGCAGGAGAGAAGTCAAAGGAAACCAAAACCATATCCATTATGAGGAGGAAGAATAATTTCATGAGGTGTGAGATTTGAGTCAGGCACTGAAGAATGAGTAAGTTAGGATAAAAATGGAACTAAGCTGTAAAGAAGTAGAAAATACAGAATTTGCTAATGTGGCTAGAGAAATGTTGTAGAGTTCCTGCTTGCAGAGGACTTGAGTTCGATTCCCAGCATCCACACTGGGTGGCTTGCAACTGCAACTCCAGCTGCAGGAGATCCTTCTTCTGATTTATGTGGTTACCACATATACACATATACTCATATAGACACATTTACATAATAAAATAAATCTTTAGAGCTAGAGAGAGATGTAGTTAAAAACTCTTGCTGTTCTTGCAGAGGACCTAGTTTTGGTTCCCAGCACCCACCTGGCATGTCATAACTATCCTTCAAGACCCAAGGGATCCAGCATCTTCTTTTGGACTCCACAGATATTAGTCATAACAAAGTAAACTGTATATACATGCAAGCAAAACACTCATACACATAATTTTTTCTTAAAAAAAGTGAAACAGTAAGATGGCCTTTTATGAGGTAAGAGTTATGTATGAGCCAGGAGAGAAATTGTTAGGGATAGATCGTGGTGCTCTAGACAGTCTATTTTGTATAGTCATCTGTGGGGTTTGCTAGACACAGATTGCTAGCCTCTACCCCTAAAATTTCTGATTCAGTTGGTTTGGATGGGCCCAATAATTTAACAACCTTCTCTGCTATACATTTTTTTTTCTATTCTGTAAATAGAACCCAGGGCTTTGCATATGCTAGGCAAATATTGTACCACTGAGCTAAATCCCGTTATCATTTGCATGTCTAACATTTCCCTGGGCCTACACAGTACACATAGAAAAATCTCTAACTGGAGTCTTGATGAGTTTGAGATTCATGAAAAGGTTACTTAAAAATCATTTTTCTTGTACTTCACTATGAAGTACTTACTCATAATTACTAGCTATTAATTAAATTCTTCTTTGAAAATGTTTTTCTCCTTTGAGAAAAACATTTTAGATCCCATTTTAGTAATGATTTTTAAGATTTAGTGTAATTCTTGTTTATTTTTTGTTTTTGTTTATTCAATTTAGCCCCACTCCTTTCTAACTTGGGTTCAAATAGGAATATGAAGCAGACAGCGGAGAGAGTCATGTAGCTGCCTCCTCACCCAGACCACTCCAGGCCTGGACCCCGTGGAGGTAGAGGGAGTAGCTGAGATCTGCAGCAGGAAAAAACCTAGCTAGGGTTCCTATGTAAATATTATTAAATCATTTTAGACTTTCCAAATATATGTTATAGTTTCTAATTTTTTTTGCTTCATGTTTAAAGAGATATGTGCTTAATGCAAAAACCGAGTTTCTCTGTTTTTTGCTTAGAATTTCAGACACAGTAGTGATTAATATATGTAAATTCTACTCTTTTTTGAAATGAATATGGATAATGATTTGCATACTTACACCTGAGGTAAATCATCCCAATCACATGTATATCTCCATCAACTCTACAGCTCTGCTTACAAAAGTCAATACAATATACATAGTTGTATTTCTTATAAAGGAAATCTTCTACAATCTTCAAAGTCTTTGACAGTCTGTAGAAGGTTTTAAACACCATTTATAAGGTTGTATCTATTTTTAGATACTGTTGAGTTAAACTGTTAAGTATGTAGAATCATATCCTTAATATGAACACAGGGATTTGGAAGGATTGGTTGTTGGTTTGTTTTTGTTTTGTCTTTAACTTTTTATTTTGTGTGTTTTTCTTCCTGTCTTATTCTTCATACTGGTGTTTTTGTTTCTTCAGCTGCTCATGGATTGTACAACCTGATGTAATCTTACAGCGGGTCAGTCAAAGGGAGTGTCAGCATCTCCATTTCCTTGAGATGTTTAAAATCCAAACAAGCAAATAGTAGCTGCATAGAATCCACAACCAGTTTTTGGGCCTCAGATATTAATTTCAGGTAGAATAATTCTGGAAAATAACTCTTAGGCTACCATTTTCTCTAAAATCCTTTCTATTTACACCCTATAAAGGATCAACAATCTGGCTCCATTAGTTCATTGAAATGTAGCTCAGGTTTTAGATGATAGATTCATCTTTTTACTGATTCTACTTCTAGGTTTTTTTTCTATTTTTAATGTCTTTTATGAAGTCATTATTTCTCCTTTTATTTTTTTCCCTAAAATAGGACAAGGACAAATACCAGTTTGGTAAGACAAAGATCTTTTTTCGTGCTGGTCAAGTGGCCTATCTAGAAAAATTGAGGGCTGACAAACTGAGGGCTGCCTGCATCCGGATCCAGAAGACCATTCGTGGGTGGCTGCTAAGGAAGAGATACCTGTGCATGAAGAGGGCAGCCATCACAGTGCAGCGGTTCGTGCGTGGCTATCAGGCTCGATGGTAGGTCTCCTTATCACCTCATGGGCCTCATCTAGTTCATGGTCCATTCTAGGATAGATCTGAATGGAAGATAGTGTCTCACTCATTATTAGTTCCAAAGCTTAGCAAATTAACTCACAAGACCATTTAAAGGAATAAATTCTTATGTAGAGTTGTGATAATAAAGATTTGAATTGCTACCAACTTAGGTCCTTAGAATTTGTACATCTTTTACTTTAACATGGAACTTGAGGAAATTGTATGTAAATTATAATAACCACAAATATGAGACAGGTAATCTTGACTACTGAGGGGCAATTAACTGAGAAAAGTTCTAGCAAAGAATTAGTTTTCAGTATGAAATACTGAAGTACATATACAGACAGTTTTAATTTAGAGGAACAAGGAGAAGTGAATTAATGGTGAAGAACATATACTCAGATTCAGGAAAAGACAGAACTTAAACTGTGATCTCAGATAACTAGTAAAGTAAGTTTGGAATTGCAGTGTGTATCAGTTTGCTGTGTGACGGGCACATAGCATGGAACAACGATCCTGTCCTAGAAAGAGTAAAGCTTTGTGAACTTCCTTTTCTTTCTTGTAAAATGTGACAATATGAGACATCCTGCTTTTCAAAATTAGGGAAACACCAATGAGAAAATATTTCAGAAGCTACACATTGCTAAACAAATGTAAGTGAGTATAAGTACCTATTTGTGGTGACTGTTAGAATACAAACAGTGAGGTTCTGCTCAGGATACCTAAGACACTGACATTGATGGTTTGCAGTCACGATGACTGACAGTGCACCCCTCTTGTCTTTGGGCAGCTATGCTAAGTTTCTGCGCAGAACCAAGGCAGCAACCACCATTCAAAAGTACTGGCGCATGTATGTGGTCCACAGGAGGTACAAGGCTAGACGAGCTGCCACCGTTGTCCTTCAGTCTTACTTGAGAGGCTACTTGGCAAGAAATAGGTATCGCAAGGTAAGACACTGTTTTCAAGGTTGTTTATGCATTCCAGTAATATTAACCATATTCTCCATCTGCACAAAGTACCATCCAGACATCTGGGGGCAAAGAAGCCATGTACCAACGATTGAATTGTATGCTAGTATTAAGTAATTAGATATACTTGTTAACAAGACAATACAAAGGAAAATACACTTCCCATTTCCATTTGTCTGTACAACTTGTAAAATTGAATAAGTGAATGTGAAATGAAAATCATAAACTTAGTTGTTAAAAACAACAGTACTTATTTTCTCCACCTTCAGGAGGCCAAAAGTCCAGAACCACTGAGCTATAATCAGGATATCAGCAGTACC